TTAACCTGCTTTGAGGTAAACGTGCTCGATGCGCCTCCACGGTTTATTTTTTGAAATTGCGTATTTCTATGACTTATTCTAATGCCTGAAAGAGCTAATCGTTTTTTGTGGGGGGGGGGGGGGTAAGCCGTTTCAAAACATAATCGATGAATCAGCGTCGAAGGCACGTTCTCGCGTTTCGCAGCTGCGGCTGATCTGCGGGTGTGTTCGTCACCAGAAACCTAAAAAAAAAGATGAAAGATCTGGCACACCCTTTTTGTGCCTTCCCGCGCAAATCAACGGGAAAGACTTTCGGTACACACTTTTTGCTTTTTTTTTGTACGGCCACAAACTGCACACGCACCAGCGAAAACACAGCAGCAACTGCAATAGCTACCGCGTTTTTCGCCTTCGAAGTCAAACCAAACAGCCGACAACAGCACTGCCACATTATCGTGAAGTGTCATCTATACGACTTAGTCATGCATCCTATAATGGCACAGATTTAAAGTTATTCAGAAAAGTCTGCAGTGGTGTACGACTGATTTCATTTTATCCGCCATAATTATATTCATATATATATATATATATATATATATATATATATATATATATATATATATATATATATATATATATATATATATAACTTGAAGGGAAGGCACGACAGGTCCGGGTATTTTCTATATTGAAATAACTTGAAGATAGCACATAAGAAAAGGATCGTATTTACTAACGTTTCGGCCGTGGCACGGCCTTCGTCAGAGTAAGTAGGTATGATACAATGCAGCCGCTTTTATAGGCTCACGTGATGAACTCTCGGTATTGCAGCTAGGACAATCAAAGTAAAAAATGGTAATCTGTCAGGACCTTGTGTTGACATGACTGACATGTGACGGGTGCATGAATATAAAAGTTTCAAATTTCCTTGCGCATCGACACGTGGGGCACAGTATGGTTGGCAGGACATGTAAAAGAGCTCAGAGGTAAAGAAACCACGGTTGACTAATATACAATTTAATATACACTAAAATATTTTACTAATCTAAGAAGTCGTGTTGTTATAGTGCGAGGCAGGTGAGCTTTCCTACGTTTTCATTGATACCTGAACGAATGGTGTTAAATTTGTGGATCAAGAAGGATTCCCTCACTTCCCTATCGTGATTTGTCTTAAAACCGGACTGAATAATCATGGCCCTAATTTTGTCGAAACCATGCCAGGCATACTGACGTGCTTCGACAGCGGTAGATTAGGGAGGCTTACGGCATGTGCACGGTGATTATTAAAACGAATTCTGAAACTTGTCTCTGTTTGACCTATGTACTGAGCACCGCAAGTTGAACACTCGAGAAGATAGATGACGTTGATACTATCACACGTGTAGTTCCCATTTATCTTTGAAGAAAAACTGGACGATGTACTTGAAACTGTTTTAGATGTCGTCATGTGCGCGCACACTTTGCAACGTGGTTTGTTACAGGGATGACAGCCTTCATGATGTGAACACGTGGTTTTAGATGAGGTTAGTAAATCACGAAGGTTCCGCGATCGTCGGTAGACCACGCGTGGTTGTTCTGCAAAGATTCCTTTGAGCCGCTCGCTCTGTATTAAAATGTTAAAATGTTTCTTTAAGATATGGTTCACATTTGGAGCTGAGGCCGCATGTGTCAAAATTAGATTAGTCCGCGAACAATCTTTGGGTCTTTTGTTAGTACTCAGCAGGTCTGAACGGTCAAGCTCTTCTGCACGTTTGATGGCGTCTGTGATTATGCTGGCCGGATAGCTCTGTTTTTCGAGCGCGCTCCGAAGTTGTTCGCAGTGGCGGGAAAATTCGCTGCTATCAGAGCATATTCTTTTAAAACGGACTGCTTGGCTGTAGGGAATACTAGTTTTGTTGTGTTTCACGTGACTACTACTAAAGTGAAGATATTGCTGCCTATCCGTGAGTTTCCTGTAAAGATTAGTTATCAGCTTCCCGTTACGTAGAGTGACCATGACATCAAGGAAGCTTATGTTCACAGGTGAATATGAGTGCGAAAAAGAAATCGCCGGATGAGCGTTGTTAAGATCTGCTATGAAAGAAAGAAGTTGCGATTCACTATGGTGCCAGATTAGGAAAATGTCGTCGATGAACCGCTTATAGTAAAATGGCTTATATTCACAATTTGCAAGAAATTTGTTTTCAAGGAGCCCCATAAATATGTTTGCGTAGTTTGGTCCGATTCTTGTGCCCATAGATGTACCGCTAACTTGAACATAATGTGTCCCATCAAATTCGAAATTGTTAAGTTCAAGAATGAGCTTAAGCAACGTAGCTAACGTAGATGCGGAAACTGGTTTGTTGGCGTGGCAATCGTTGTACGCGCAGATAACTGCCTCGATGCCATCTGAGTGAGGGATATTAGTATACAGTGACGTGACATCTAACGTAACGAGAAACGAATTTTGAGGAACCTGTAGGTCAACAATATCTGATAGAAAGTGATTGGTATCTTTAATGTAAGAAGAAAAGCTGGACGGAATGGTGTTGATGAGGCTATCTACATAACGGGAAAGGTTCTCAGTCACTGTTCCAATTCCAGAAATTATCGGTCTACCGGGATAATCTCTCTTATGAATTTTGGGAAGAAGGTAAAACCTGCCAGCTACTGGGCTCAATGGTAAGAGGGATTTCAGAGTGCCATAGCTTATTTCTTTATCATTAAAGAGCGCAGTCAAGGTATCACGAACAATATCTTTGAACTCGTTTGTTGGGTCATGATCTTTCCGCTTGTAATATGATGCATCACTGAGCTGCCTATGGCCTTCGCTGATATATTTGCTTCTGTCCATTACAACAATGGCGCCTCCTTTATCTGCAGGTTTTATAATTATGTCATTACGACCAGCAAGGGATTCAATTGCTGGTTGCTCTCTGTCAGTAAGGTTGCGGTGCAATGGTGTACGTTCTTTATATGCCTGCATGACATCGCGTTGTACAGCTCTGATATAAAGGTCCAGACATTTGTCTCTTTGGGAGGGGGGTGTCCAATGGTTGTAAGATGGCAATGATGAGCTATCGGTATTGTGAGCGGAGGACCGATCATAAAAGTACTCACGGAGGCGCATGTTACGTTCGAAATTGTGAAGATCCTTCACCAACTGAAATTCACTATAGCCTCCTGTTGCAGGGCAAAAATTAAGCCCTCGAGATAACACACTACGTTCCTCAATTGATAGATCGTAACATGACAAATTTATAATGTTATCCTGTCCAGAAGATTTACTTTCCAGCTCGGGCTGGCGCATTTAAGCTGTAGTTAGAATGTTTCCTCGTCGGGAGCATTCCTTTTTTTTCTAAGTTGTCACGCGTGACCTTCTTTGACTTTTTAGCATCCAGCTCGGCTAACTTCTGTGCCCGATAGAATTCGAGAGTTTTTAATTCTTCAGTCGTAAACTGAGATGATTGCACAAGCTGTTTTTCCTGATTCCGCAGACCTTTTTCTGATGATTCATAATGGCTAATAAGTATGCTGGTTAGTTCAACAGACGCCCGATTTAAGGTGTTGTGCCACCTTGACAGGTTTTTCTTTGACATCTCTGATGTGGCCGGCTGCAGTTTTAGTTGTAAACCTTTAGGAGCACTTGTTGCCGCGACATACATTCTAAGCATAGAAATGTGGGATTCACAACGAGTCCGTTTTTCTATAACCTTCCTGGTCCTTAAAAAATTCATTGAGCCAACAGATAAAGTACTCTCACTTAGCTGGCGTTGTGTTAGTCAGTTGGTTCCTCTCGTGGTTGTGCCCCTGTTCCGGAGCCCGTAGCGTGGTTGAGACGGCGAAAGTGATGCAACGACCGCAGGCGGCGGTAGGCAAGACGTAGGCTGTGTAGATTGAGACTTGTTCATGTGGGCGCGCGCTGCTTTCGAGGTGACGTTCTCTGCTACGGAAGGCTTGCTCGTCATGGTGAAGGTTGCTGTCGGCGCGGTGTTGTTTCTTGAGTTCGGCTGTGCTGTAGGATGACTGGGTGCTGAAGGTCGCCCAGCTCGATCCACTCGATGCGGAGAGTCGTCATTCGTTGATGAATCGCACCAGGCAGCTGATGTCGCATCCACCGGTCTCCTGAAGCACAGGCGGCGGATGTGGCTTGCAAGCAACGACACACCCTCGAAGCTCATATGAAGGCCGTCTGCTGCGAGGACGCGTGTGGGTGGTAACCATTCGATTTCATGATCGAGGTAGCAAACTAGCCGGGAATAGCGGCAAAAATTCCGAAGCATGTTGTTGAACACTGATGCTTCTCTGTTGCAGCGTCGGACGAATGTCAGGTTAGAGTTCCTTTGTCGACGGTTTCCACTTCTAGGCAGTATCAGCGTGGCGTAAATTCGCCGAATTTCTGGGCGGTATTTTGCAATGCTTTCAAGTAGATCGCGGTACTTTGCAAACGCCTCGTGTCCCGAACACGAAGCCACATCGACCGTCCCAACATGAAGAATAAGACAGGATGCTGAGCGGGGCACTAGACCCCGTAAGTCACGCACATCACCGATTGTAGCACCACACTGCGAAATGAAGGCTGGTGCGCCATTGCTGAGGGGGTCGAAGTATTGATGTATATACTTTGTTTGTGAATCTCCCACAACTGCTGTGGTAGGAGTGTGCACAGGGTATTTCGAAATCATCCTTTTCTTCAGTGCTGTCCCAGGACCCATGGTTGAAGAATAACTTGAAGGGAAGGCACGACAGGTCCGGGTATTTTCTATATTGAAATAACTTGAAGATAGCACATAAGAAAAGGATCGTATTTATATATATATATATATATATATATATATATATATATATATATATATATATATATATATATATATATATATATATATATATATATATATATATATATATATATATATATATGTAACTAGGACACGTTCAACTAGGACGTTGAACAATGCACCATTGCAAAGTTCTCTCAAAAATGGAGTGATAGAATTGCGGTGTTTATAGCCGCTTGTTCAAAAGTGTTTTCATTATTTCAGGCTGCTTTGTGGTGCTCCTACAAAAGTTTCTCACCGTGCACCAGATAACTCTATTTGGCAGCATTCTGCTCTGGACGCCATTGATCGGCGCAGCCTTCTCTCCGAACGTCACATGCATGACAGTCACCCTCGGCGCACTGCACGGTAAGAAAACATGTGACGGCTTCTAAAGCTTTTACCGATACACTGTTACGGTTGAGATCTGTCATGTGTAGTCGACAAAAAGTGATCATCAATGAGCTGGCATGCGCATAGTTTTGATTGATTTGTGGGGTTTAACGTCCCAAAACCACGATATGATTATGAGAGACGCCGTAGTGGAGGGCTCCGGAAATTTTGACCACCTGGGGTTCTTTAACGTGCACCCAAATCTGAGCACACGAGCCTACAACATTTCCGCCTCCATCGGAAATGCAGCCGCCGCAGCCAGGACTCGAACCCGCGCCCTACGGGTGAGCAGCCGAGTACCTTAGCCACTAGACCACCGCGGCGGGGCATGCGCATAGTAACCAAGCAAGCACTTGGTACAGAAGGTTAACAAAGCAAGCTGCAATACGGGTCCCTAATCAGTGTTCGCCGACCACGTCCAGCACTGAGACACTTTAATCCTGCCTTTTAGCAGTATCTCGCACTGTGGAGGGAAGTTTTCGAACATCTATAACTCCATATCAAACTGCTAATGATATTTATAAGTATTCTTTTTTCCTGCGAACGATCAATCAGTGCAAGGACCCACGTGCACCCACTCTTGAAAGCAATAGCATAGAATTGTTCGACAGATTACTGCCAGTTGGTTTTGTGAAGTTTCTTTCTTTGTACTACTTATGTATTTGCCTTATACTTATGCTTGAGCACATTGTCTTAGTTTTTGCTGCATTTCCCCATCACACATTTCGTGCGCCTGTTTTGCTTTGAGAGCTGTTTAAGTTCATTGATTTATATCGTCTTAAATTCACACTACTGTTTTTTCCCAAAAAGTTCTAGCGTCAATCTTGATTGTAACTACCACTCTGCATTGACTCCACCAGGAGTTCGCCGTAATGATTTATAAGTGGGATTGAATGTCCCAAAACCACTTTCTATGATTATGAGAAATGCCGTTGTCAAGAGCTCAGGAAATTTTAACCACCTGGATTCCTTAAAGGAGCCCTCCAACATTATTCGACCACCCAAGTTTTACTCTTGTGTTGTGTAGACTGAAGTACACACGGACTAATGCCGCAAAGAAAGGTAGAGATAACGGCACGCAATCTGAAGTTATTCTACTTAGAAAATTAAAAATTAAAGAAAGAAATGCCGACCCTCAACTCTATTTTCGAGGGGTCACATGACCATATTTCACTCGGACGGCTGCCCCGATGAAATGAGCTAGAAGCGCCTACGTGGGGGAAACTCGCACCCTAATGTTGCTTGTGTTTCCAAAGCATTGTTGACTTTGTGTCCGATGCCTGGCTTGCCAGAACGTGCGCGGGAGCTACTGTGTCGATAGTAGGTATTTTCTGCTGTTCTTCTTTTTACACTCCGAGTCACTCCCTCCCCTTATTCTAAGAAAGGAACGCGTAGAACGACGAGGACAGCAAAGTACTGTTGACCCTTCGCACGTTGTTTGGTGAGCCGTCCGACCAACAACAATGGTGCACTGCACTTCATCAACAGCTCACGTGCGCAAAAAGTCAGCTCGCAAACTTCCAAAGCAGGAAGAGGGAAGAAAGAGAGAGAGGTCTCTCGTAAGGATATCCGACCCGCGCAAGCCGAAAACCTAGTGGCGAGATGGCAGTCAGCGTCTCTGTCGTGGTTTGTAGTCGCGGTGATCTTTTTGTTGTGGGATTGGTTCAGGGGTTGATTGAAAAGCACAGGGACAAAAATTGAAACAGATTAGTAACCTCAGTTTTGATCCTATGCTACAATCGCTTCCAAAGTTGCATTTATTCAATAATTTGGCGGCAACCTTCCAGCGACATTTCCGTCCGCAAAGTTGCGACGAGGCCACTACGTGGTGATGCAGTTAGCAGCGATGTAGTGAATTCATTGCGTGAATAAAATAATGAATCATATGAAAAGCGTGCTTAGACGAATGCTGAATTTCTTTCCAGCTATCGGTCTACGTATTCCACAAATAAAAAAACAGGTGCTTCAATAGTGTTGGAGGGACCCTTTAACTTGCACCCAGATCTGACAACACGTGGCTACAGCATTTTCACATGCATCGAAAATGCAGCCATCGCAGTCGGGACTCGATCTCGCCACCTTCTGGTCAGCCGCCGAGTACTTTAGTCACTTGTGCACGCTGAAGAAGAGGAATTAGCAGTAATGTTAAATAATAAATAATAATCAATAAACTATCTACCACATGATGGGCCCTTCCATTATTGCTGTACCCCCTGTCCCCAAGCCAACCGGGCCGTAGTAGGAGGCGATACTGCTGGGCTGTTTCGACCTTCGCGCGTTGTTCTGATGAGCTCAGCCAGTAGCTGACGCCAGTAGGGTCCCATACTAGACATCCCCGCCTACTATTCTTAGTTGAGTGACCTACCAATCTTACAAGTTGTGCTTGAGTGAAGACGATCACGGTGTCCGCGGCCACTTCCTTCACCAACAGCTCTCACACTCAGCCATTCGTCACAAAGTTGTGGTCCTCGAGACCTCTCTTGACTTCGATGGCTCCCAAGTAATAAAACTCGTTCTCTAAACGCGCAATTCAGGAATATTGGAGCTGCGGACGCACGGCCACAGGTTAACGTCGCTTACACAGTCTTCCACACGAAGTTTGAATGGGTGCAGTACGAAAAGCATCGTCTTTTCCACGTGCCAATCGCTGTTTCTTTCCCCTCCAGGGCGTAAGATAGAGCATGTGCATGCTGTGTAGCGACTCTACGGACCCCTACCAAGGAGATATATGACCTCTTCACACGTCCAACCATGCGTGGCTTAGCCGTGTCCATGGAAAAAGGGTTTCGGGAGGCTGAGCCGTCACCTGGGGATTGAACCTTTAAGGCCCACCGGCGGAGGCAACGCACTCCTTTGGCCCCAGCTTCACGTAGATGTCCCCCCGGGGCTGACCAACCCAGGGTAGTTTGATAGCGCCTTTTCATTTCTCTAACTCCTCTCATCTTCGTCTCCCTCTCTCACGTTCTATGTTTCCTGTCCACTTGTCACTCTCGTGTTCGTACAAATTTGCTGGCGGCTAAGGTTAACCTTGTAAAAACAGCCTATCTTGGTCTAGACGCATTCCGTTATGGAAGCCTTGTACAGCTAGCGTCTGCAAGCTTTCAGCATCCGCAAATTTGTAGCGTGCCCCCGTTGGGCTCCATGGTGGGGGGCCGCCAACGCTGCTGAACAAAATACACTAAACATGCATAGAACATTTCCCCTCCAAATTTATTGTACCTCGCCAAAGCGGGATACGCGCCAAGAACGAGTTTATCAATTGGTCAACAAAACATCTTTTGCTTTCTTGTTCTAAACAGTGAGAAAAGTAATAAGCAAGCCAGAATCGTATTACCCTTTGTACCTGCGAGGTGTCTTAATGGCGCTTTTGGTGACTGGTAAACAGTTACCGAAATGGCCAGTGAAGATTTACTTGTAGAACGGCCGGAAAAGACAAATTTGAAAAGCTGAAGTTCCTTACAACATTTAGTGACAAACCAATCAATTTCGCACCGCACAGGCCTATGAACTCAATTAGCGGTGCGCTATCTGACGCAGATTTCATTCACCTGACCGGAACTGAACTTCTGCAGAATGGAAGAGCAAGAAAGGGGCGAACATGGAGCATATAAAGATCACTAAAGACAATAAATAAATGAAAATACAGAATACTGGTCTTTGCTTCCAAGAATCTGCCTGTAAGCATTCAAATCGTTTATACAAAAACTGCTGTCAGGTCATACATACTTACTCCTGTCATCGTTCCTAATGTCTGGGGTATGGCCACGGCTCGCAAAGCTGTCAAGGTAGCCAAACTTGTGCACGATGTGGAGTGCCAGGCCATAAGTCCGACACCTGCACAGAACTTGCGCACTGCTTGAACTGTGATGGAAATCATGGTGCATATGCATGGTCATGTTCTTTCCAGAAAAAAGAAGAAGAAATATTACATTGAAGGTGAAATAAAAGACTTTGTTTAAGGAAGAATGAAGGAGAGGTTTGCCCAACGTACGCTGATGTGGCGGGTCAGGGGGCACCGTCACATGAGCCCTCGCCACTCCTTCGGCCTGCGCAGAGCGAGCCATTGGCTGCGACCCCTGCTCCCAAGGCGGTAGTAGTTGAGTCTACTCCGCCTACTAGCGAACTGAGACCGGACCCTCCAGGGTCCTCCGGTCTCAAGGCTTCCCCTCACCAGGCGAGGCCTAAACTTCGCACAACCAGCTCGCATGTGCGGGCATCCGGTGCCTCCGAAGAGGCAATGGATACAGCGCACACCTTGGTGCCGAAAGATCGGCGTTGCTCCTTGGAGCGCGCCAAGAAAACCTAAAAACAGATAGCGTGGCTTGATGACGGCCCTTTTATTTGAATTTCAATTTCCCGCTTAAACAGCCACCTGTTTTTCATTCCCACAGCACTACCTGGCCTTCATCATGAACACACAAATTGTACAATAAAACGTCGCGGCCAAAAAGTTTCTTAAAATTAACCAGAGGAGACACTGGCGCTGCAATCATTCAGCGACCATGCATGGGCATTGTGGGTATGACAAGGACTTGCCTAGTTTTCGTACTTGTGGGCGGCGAACGCACTTGTGGCTTCGTTTATTGCTGTGTTTTGGTTTTGTTTTGAAGGAAAAGAAAAACCGTTTCTTAATTCATGACCCGATTTGAAATGGTAAGCCTAAAGTAACTGTCGAACATTGCCCGATTGTCGTTTTGTGACAAAGCAGCTTCAAGCCACGCGAAGCCAGAACGAACGTAAAGTGCGAAGACTAGACAAGTGTATGTCATACTCATAATTCTGATGCTCGCTAAAGCACAATACGTTGCAGCTCCCATAGAAACTAGCGCCAGGGGTCCCTCTAGTATATACTGGTGAAACTCTATGGTCGGGGCCCTTTTGGGAACCTTGAAGCTGTCCAGGGACTTTTACACAAACACTCATCTGAACAACTATGTGTAAAACAAACACTTAAATCCAAAGCACACCAGCATTTCTACGTGCCTACATTATTTTCCGAAAGTACCGTGATGACGCCATGATAATATCCGGAGGTGTAGCCATTCTAGTCAATCGAAAGATCGCATGCACACACAACTACAAACGTCCCTTGAAGCAGTGGCTTTTCGAACTGTCGCTTTCGTCAAACAGATCACAGTTTGCACTGTATACGTTCCTCCAAACTATTAGCTACAAGAACTTGATTTCCGATCATTTATTGCTGAACGTCGCGATGAAGGCACCTAACCTTCACCTTGGAGACTTGAATTCGCATAGCAGGCTATGGAGTGTCTCTCGTTGCGATGCGCAAGGTCGACTGATTGAATACCTCCTTCTCTCGTCGAGCGCGTGTCTCCTGAGTGAAAAAGAACCAACCTATACTATATTCTTGCAAAGAATACCCATTCTTCTGTAGACATAAGCCTCCTCCTACCTCGATCGCTTGTGCCTCTACTTCAAGGAAACGTCATCAGTATTCCCTACGGAAGTGACCACTTTCGCGTAGGTTTCAGTAATGAATGTCATCCGCATGTTCCCAAATTGCTCACAAACGAAACCGACTGACTCGTAACATTACTCGTTTAAGTTGGACTCTCGTATGGGGGTTCAGGATAGACCAAGCTGCACAGTTTATCACAGATTTTCTTACTGACGCAGCAACCAAGCGTACCCCGCAAACATCTGGACTGCCCGACAAGTGACGCGTTGCATGGTGACACTTCGTGTCGTAATGCACGAAAACAGCAAAACAAGGCATGGGGTTGCTTTGGGACTCACCGACAGCCGAAAATCTAGACAGGTTGAAGAAAAGGAAGCTTCAAGGCAGAGAAAAGCGTCAGCAGTCCAAAATAGAAAGTTGTCAGGAGTTTATATCAGGCATCTATTCATGTGCACACGAGGCTAAAATCTGTTACATGGCTAGATGGGTAGCAGGAATAGAAGTACACTCACTTCCACTCGTAAACCCGCAAGCTGACAGCTTGAAAGATCAGGCGACCTTCCTCGGTACAAACTTTGAACGGTTGTCCAACTCATCACACTATACCGAAACTTCGCAAAAATACAAGACCATAATATAAAAGCAGAAACTAAAACACAAATGTACAAAATACGGGGAATACAACCAAACTTACAGCTTGCCTGAGCTCGGAACATCACTAAACTCCTGCAGTAATTCCGCCCCAGGTTCAGACCGTGATCTGCATGAAATCCTGAAAAACCTACTCATCAAAACACAAATAACTCAACTTTCCTTGTACAATGCTTTCTGGTTTTCTGGCACTATCTCTGCTTCTTGAAAAGAGGCTATTGTTATTCCGATTCTAAAGCAAGGCAAGGATTCATCCACCGTTGGCAGTTACCAGCCAATGGCACATACAAATGCCTTGGGCAAACATTCAAAATGATGAAAAACTGTGGTCTTGTGCATTTTGTTAAAACAAACAATTTTCTCGACCAAGTGCAGTGCAAGTTTTGAGAGGATATATCCACCAACAACCATCTGGTACGTATCGAGGCACAGATCCGGCATGTCTTCGTCCACAAACAATACTTCACCTCTGTGTTCCTCAATATCGAAAAAGTTTACAATACAAAGGCAGTGTGGAATATTAGAAACATGTTCTACTTTGGTGTGCGTGGTAGAATGTTTACTATAATCTAATGTTAATTGTCCAATCGGACATTTTGTCTCCGAGTGAGCAGCGTTCATTACCAAACATTTGTCCCAGAAACAAGAGTGCCGCAAAGTGGTGTACTAAGTTGCACACTTTTTCTTATCAAAATGAATTCCTTGCGCTTGTCCATTCCCCGCAATATGTGCTACTGCACCTAGGTCGACGATGTCCAGCTAGTTTGACTTCTTGTAAACTGGCAATGCGTGACCAGCAGGTTCAGCTTGATTTCAACAAGGTCTCTGATTAGGCCCAAAAAACGGGTTCCGACTGAATCTACAAAAACACACGTGTGTATTGTTCTCCAGGAAGAGTGGCATTCATTCCGAACCAGACATTCATCTCCGTGGGGAAGGTTTTTCTGTTAATGTTGAACCTAAATTCTGTGGCTTAGTCTTGTACCCAACCCTAACCTTCATACCGCACATCAAGCATTCAAAAACAAGGGCATATAAGTCTTGAATGTTCCAAAAGTGTTGTAACGCACTGTGTGGCGTAATGACAGAAAGTGTCTCAGGAGCTTGTGTTCTCATACCACTCGCTTAGAATATGGGGCAATAACTTATTAGTCTGTGACATGTACTACCCTAAGGATGCTAGATTTTGTTCATCATCTCAATATTCGTCTCTATACGGGTGCTTTTCGCACTAGACTCGTGAAAAAGCCTGTACATGTAATCAAACAAAAGGTCAATTCATCTACAAAGATAGAACATGTTTTTTAAATATTATCCTAAAGTGAAACAGATAATGAGCACCCTTCACAGTCTACAATTGATAACATATCAAGTTCTTTGTTTAAAATTGGCTTTCTAGTATACAAACGTACCGTCTACATCTGAGAGGGTTAGCGGTGGAATCCGGAGTGCCACTTCAGCGCCGTTTGAAGGCACCCGCAACGTGCCTTTTACCGTGGCAGTGGCAGATGATAGATTGCGACGTCTCTTTTTTAGAGGTTACGAAGCAGACGTCCATCGCACATACCCAAACGTACTTCCTGGAACTGCAACATAAATACACACGTCTCGAGTTCTTTACCAATGCCTCAAAGCCCAACAATTCTGTGCCATACGCAGCTGTCGGCCCCGCTCTTTCCGGAAGCCGACGTTCTGCACCCAATACGAGCATTTTACCATGCTATGCACATGTCATACTTGCCGCCTATAACCACAATAAAGAAATGAACCACAAAAGGTGGTAATATATACAGATTCCCCAAGCGTAGTAGAAGCTCTGAATACCCTCAAGAAGCAAAAAAATTTGTTCTTGTCTCGCTCTACTCACTTTATCACAGTCTACAGATCTTAACAGCATTTTGTAGTGTGCTGGGTGCTAGGGCACCGCGAGATACAAGGCAACGTTTTGTTGGTTCAGCTAGCTCCATCCGCGAAACAAAACCGCTGCCAATGCATCGATGCCGATCCCAGCGCTTGACTTAAAACGTTTGCTAACACAAAATCTCAGGGGCAGAGCACGTGACACAGACGAACAGATAATAAACTCCATATTATCGACCCGCTAATCGGCCATTGGCCACCATATCGAAATCTTGCCACAAAGAAGTAATAGTTACAAGGCTCAGGACAGGGCATACACAGAGTTAAAATTCGTCCTTTTTGTCTGTTGGCGATGCTCCTCGGTGTGCCAGATGTGGAGAAGCACTCATCGTACTTCACATTTTAACGCAGTGTAAACAATTAGACACGCTAAGAAGGCAACACTTTCCATTACCTACCGACAACAGACAACTTCACCCTTCCGTGTGCGTCGGTAGGGAACCACTTTTCCCACATACATCACTGCTGGCTTTTTTGAGAGACGTCCGTACCTTTCATTCCTACAACCGCGAATGTCGTAGCATGACCTCTCAAGAGAGGTCACTGCTGGTGCACTTGCCTCGCGGCCCTTGAACACAAGGGCGTGGACGATCAAGGAACTTGTGCTAATGCCATACATGTCCAGCCTGGTTCGCATTATAACGAACTTTCGCCATTCATTCTCAGTATACACATTTCACGTCATAGTGACGATTTTTTTTTTCATTCTCAGTTTATTATACCCCCCTCAGGGTGCAGAATTTTAGGACCTTTATACAGTGACTTACCATTATCTTTGGTCACATATAACGTCCCATGATGTGGCGTTCTTTGGCCGTAAAATAGCCCTTGCGCCACGAAACACCAAACATCATCATTATTGTGGTCTCTTTGGCACAGCATTGTGGTGCAGAATTACGGTGACGCTATGGTGCAGGATGCTCCTTGGAGATAACTCTGCATCGCTCTCACGCTCGATCACGCCTCAAAGTTACGCCAACGCTAGGATCACGACTGCGCTACTGCATTTCACGGCCGGTTCTGACAAATAAAATGGCTGCTCATTCAGAGTGCATAGCGTCTACGCCGTCCATGCATGCTCCCTATACTGTGTGTTGGAACTAAAAACGACACTTTAGCGAGTAATCTCGATATTGCTGCCCATATAAATTGAGCTAGCTTTAAAATAATGCACACATATCTAATTATCGCCCTCTTGCCTGAATATACGATTATTTCATTCACTTTTCTGAATCTTCATTATGCAAATCTTGGAATGCTTCACTTTGTCAAACAAACTCCTGCGAGTTTACTGTTTCGTTTGAACTCAACGCTTCTTGCCTACGGCGATTGACATTCTCGATAGCTTTATGCTGCTATAAGTAGCCCACTCGATGCTTATCAGCATGTACTCTAGATAGCGGTGTAGACAGAGCGACAGTTCAGCTTATTATTGCTTCGTCAGGTACTAAGATGCCTCGCGAAATAAAATTTACTGTGCTTGACGGACTAATAAACCTAAAAGCTAAGCCTTATCGGCTTTGTAGTGGCCAGCACGTAGAGAATTGGATCACAGTGCTGCTCAACTCATGGTAAGGACGTCGTTTTCATTTGGGACGAAATTGAAAGCATTGTAGAGCCAAAAGAAGAAGGCCAAAAGTGATTCGCATGTTATCTGGAAGTGAAAACATTTCATCCATCTTTAGTTTAAAAACATGGTGGTTTTGATGATCTAACTTCACATGTAATTTCGTGTTGCAGGTGCCGGTGCAGGTATTGTCCTCGTCAGCCTCATGGTAATACTGGGCACGCATTTCGACAAGTACCTCGGTGCAGCCAGTGGTATCCGCGACGCAGGAACTACGTTATGCGCCTTCGCCTTTCCTTCGCTGCTCTCCTACCTTAGCGAAAACTACGGCCTACGTGGAACCCTGTTTATTTACAGCGCTTTGTCCATGCACGTCATGGCAGTAGCATTTTGGCTGTGGATGCGAGCTAGGGTCGACAGAAAGAATGAAGCTTGTCATAGAGCGTCATGCAAAATCACTACTTATCCTTCCAAATATTCCAGCTGGACTATCGGAGCTCGTAGAGGCGACTCCATTCCTTGTGTCAGTGCTCATTCTAACAACAACAACAACGGTTATCCACCTCAAAAAGGCGGCCTCGGGCAAGTGCGTCAGAAGTCTTTTACACTGCCGCCAAAGGTTCCTGACGAAATGGATGCCGAGGAGGTGTCGTTGTCTTTCCTCGAGAAGTTTTCCATCCTGAAGATGCCGAGCTTCTACGTGGTGGCCATCGGCGCTGTGGTCGAGATCTACGGCTACAACGTCTTTCTAGAGACTATCGACAGCTACGCAGTTGACAAAGGGGCCCCAGAGTCAGAAGCCGACATGGCAGTTACGTACGCGACTGTTCTGGAAATCTTTGGCTACGTGGCAGTTCCCCTCATCGCCGACATGGGCTTCATTGGTCGACCTACCATGGCGGCCATGTGCTTCGGTGTCATGGCACTCTTGTATGGTGCGGTGCCACATGCACCGTGGTCAGTGCCATACTTGTCTGTCGATGCCATCTTGGTCATGTTCGTGGCCACGACGAGCTCGCTACGCTGCTCCATCATGACGGAATTATTTGGTGCGCAGCAAGTTCCCGTGTGCATGGCCGTGGCCGGCTTGCTGCTTATCCCTGTGCAACTGTGCAGCCCATCAGTCATCGGTAAGCATCCTGAATACATGCCCAAATATTTTCTTAACACCAATCACAAGATTACTTTGCTGAAATTTCCAACTTCTCACCAAAGGTACACCACAACTCGGCGGTAGGTACCAAAGCATATATATATATATATATATATATATATATATATATATATATATATATATATATATATATATATATATATTCAAGTAGATCCTCTGCGAGCAGTCACAACGTGGTTCATTTCGACGTTTCTGCCAGAGTCTGGCCTTTATCAGGATCGAGGGTGCAGTTTGTGGGTGCTCAGCTCTATACAATCTTAAATAGAGGGGGGAGAGACAGAAGAAAAGAAAAAAGAGGAAAAGAAAAAAAAGAAAAAACGCAATGAGAATATAAGGTGGACTCCCCTGGGCGCCCCCTTTCCCTCTTCCTTTCCCTTACCCCTCCTTCTCTCTCCCTTTTCTTCTTTTCACCTTTAGGATGTGTGTGGTCTGTGTATACTTCCTTTCACTAACGCATTGTTCCCGACCACACGGCGCCGCCTGGCTCTGGCGGTTCGGTGTGGGGAAAAGAGCTTTTTGAAGAAGTTTAGGCCATTAACTACTCAGCGCCTCGTCGACATCTGGCCATTGAAATAGGGGTGCCGCGTATTGCCGCAGAGGCTGGCAAGCAGGTGCAATGTCAATACTTGCTCGCTTCTGGATTACGTGTGCAGTAGCGGCCTCCCGATTGTGCACAGGGTTGCTGTAGGGCATATCATGCTTGGCACAATTGATATCAAGGTAAAAACAGAAAGAAATGACAGCTGTACTTAGGAAGAGTAATTAAACTTAGAAATATTTTGAGTTGTCGAGTGCCCTTCGCAGCTGCAGTGCCGTGAACTCAGTTATTATTTTCATTATTGCCGTTATTGTTTTCTAATGCTTTAATTGCTGCAAGTGTACCCGGATTCTCATTTATTCCTCTGTCGATGGTGTTAAACCGGTGGATAAGGTATGACTCTCGTTGTTCACGTTCTCGGTTTGCTCTGAATCCCGTCTCTAAGAGTGTTACTGATAGTTTGTCGAAAGCATGGTCGAGAAGATTAGGATGTTTTGATAGAGGTAGATTTCGGGCTGATTTCGCATGGGCTCTGTGATTATTGAAACGAATCCTAAATGGTGTTTTTATTTGTCCGATGTACTGCATATGCACACGTTGCATTCGAGTAGGTATACCTCATTAGAAGAATCGCATGTTAGGTTTCCTCGTATGTTATTCGAAAACTTGGATTGTGCGCTGGTTGCTTTGTGTGTTTCTCGCATCGCTTTACACACACACACACACACACACACACACACACACACACACACAATATATATATATATATATATATATATAAATATATATACATATATATTATATATATATATATATATATATATAGAGAGAGAGAGAGAGAGATATATATACATATATATATTTATATATATATATATAGTCTAGTAGATCCTCCGTGAGCGGTCACAACGTGGTTTATTTCGACGTTTCAGCCTAGAGTCTGGCCTTCATCAGGAATAAAGATACAGTTTGTCGGTGCTCAGCTTTATACAATCTCAAATCAGAAGGCAAGGAAAGAGGGAAAAAAAAGAAAGAAAAAAAGAAAAGAAAATGAAAGAAAAAAAGGAAAAAAAGAGAAGAAATATATACGGTGGACGCCCCTCGGGTGCCCCCCTTCCACTTTTCCTTCCACTTCCCCCCATCTCTCTCCCCCCTCTCCCCTTCACCTTTCTGATGTCAGCGGTCTGTGTATGTTTCCGTTCACTAGCGCATTCCTCCCGATCAGACGGCCCTTCCTGGCACTGGCGGTTCGGTGTGGGGCAAAAAAAGAGCTTTTCAGGAAGTCCTAAGCCTTTAACTACTCGGGGTCCCGTAAACAATTCGTCGTAGAAGGACAGGGGCCGCGTATTGTGGCAGAGGCTGGTCAGCGGGCATTTTAGGAAGTTCTAAGCCTTTAACTACTCCGCGCCCTGTCAACATTTCGTCGTAAAAATAGGGGTGCCCCGTATTGCGGTAGGCTGTGCAAGCGCGTGCAATGCGAATTCCTGGCCCGCTTCTAAATTACGCGTGTCGTGGGGGCCTCCCGGCTGTGCACATGGTTGCTGTTGGGCATGTCGTGCATGGCACAATTGATTGGGTAGTAAAATAAAACAGAAAACACACGACAGCTGCACTTAGGAAGAGTAGTTACACTTGGAATTGTTTTAGGTTGTCCAGTGCCCTTCGCAGCTGCAGTGCCGTGAACTCAGTTACTATTTCCATTGTTGCCGTTATTGTTTTCTAATGCTTTAATTGCTGCAAGTGTACCAGGATTCTCATTTATTCCTCTATCGAGGGTGTTAAATCGGTGGATAAGCTATGACTCTCGTTGTTCACGTTCTCGATTTGATTTAAATCCCGTCTCTAAGAGCGTTACTGATAGTTTGTCGAATGCATGGTCGGGAAGATTGAGATGTTTTGATAGAGGTAGACTTGGGGCTGATTTCGCATGGGCTCTGTGATTATTGAAGCGAATCCTAAATGGTGTTTCTGTTTGTCCGATGTACTGCATACCACACACGTTGCATTCGAGTAGGTACACCACATTAGAAGAATCGCATGTTAGGTTTCCTCGTATGTTAATCGAGAACTTGGATTGCGTGCTGGTTGCTTTGTCTGTTTCTCGCATCGCCTTACATACAAGACATCGTGGCTTTAAGCAAGGGTGGCATGAATTATTGGGGGGTGATGTGTTAATTTGGGAGTGGACAAGGGTGTCTTTGAGGTTACGTGGTCGTCGGTAAACGACGCCTGGAGCGGATGGGAATGCGCGTTTCAGACGTTCACTTTGTTCCAGAATGTTGTAATGTCGTTTAAGGATTTTGTTTACATTGGGGAAGTTTGTGCTGTAAGTCAAGCAGAGGTTTGTTCGTTGTGGGTCTTCTCGTGGTGGTCGCTTCATAAGTAAGTCTTCACGCTTTAGTTTTCTTGCTTTTTGAACAGCGTCATTAATTACATGTGGGGGGTATTTTTGTTGCTCGAGCATAAGTTTTAGCCTCTGTGAGCTCGTGTCAAAGTCAGTGTCTCTAGAGCAGATTCGCTTAAACCGGTGAGCCTGGCTGTATGGAATACTGTTTTTACAGTTGCGTGGGTGATCGCTTTGGTAATGAAGGTATTGTTGTCGATCCGTTGGTTTGCGATATAGGGTTGTAGAGAGCTTCTCTTCTTCTATCGTTATGGTAACATAAAGAAAATTTACGGTAACTTGCGAGTATGTGTGTGTGAAGTGTATGTTCGGATCTACAGCATTGTAAGTGTCTATAAAGCTGAGAAGTTCGTCCTCGCTGTGGGTCCAAATAAGAAAGATGTCGTCTATGTATCTTCTGTATAACATTGGTTTCAAGGAACTTTGTGCAAGAAATTCAGATTCTAGCTTTCCCATAAATATGTTGGAATAATTAGGTGCCATTTTGGTGCCCATAGCGGTCCCGCTGATTTATCGAAAATATTCTTGGTTAAACTCGAATGAATTTAATTCGAGGACCATCCTCGTCAATGTTGCAATGGCAGAGAAATCTGGGGTGTTAGATTGTCTATGGTTTGTGTACATGTTTTGTAATGCAGCTATGCCGTCATCGTGAGGAATATTTGTATATAATGAAGAGACATCAAGAGTAACCAAGTACGAGTTTTTCGGCACACAGATACCCGCAATGTCTCGAAGAAAATGTGTGGTGTCTTTTATGTACGACGCGAGGGTGCATGGATTGTGGCTTATCAGTTTGTCCACGTACCCTGATATGGGTTCAGTTATTGTACCGATGCCCGATATGATTGGTCGACCTGGGTTACCGGGTTTATGAATTTTTGGGAGGATGTAGAAGCGACCTGGACGAGGGTATGCTGCTTGCATCAGTTTGTGGTCAGTGTTGGTTACCTTTTCTGCGTCCAACAGTTTCTTTAGTTCTGTTGATACGATACGTTTGTATTCGTCTGTCGGATCACCTGGGAGGCGTTCGTAAAATCTTGAGTCGTCTAGTTGGCGGTATGCTTCTTGTAGGTAGTTGGTTGTAATAAGGACTACAATTGCTCCTCCTTTGTCAGCGGGTTTTATTGTTATGTCTGTCCTAGATGCCAAATTTTTCATACTTATTTTTTCAGATTTGGTCAAGTTTTCTCGGTTTCCTTTCTGTCTGTGGTATTCGTGTACTATATCTTTCCGTACTGCGGTGATATAAAGGTCCAAACACTTGTCTCGATTACTGTTCGGTGTCCAATCATTTGATTTACGACGGTGAATTGTTTCGTGGTTAGAAGGCCTATCCAAAAAATATTCGCGCAACCTTAAGCTTCGAGCGAAGTTGTCGAGGTCTCGGAGTAAAGGTAATTCATCGAAAAATTTTGTGGTCGGGCAGAAGCTTAGTCCCTTAGATAGCAGTTTTACTTCGTCAGGTGACAAGCTCGTGTCCGATAAGTTTACAACCACAGTGTCACACGGTGTGTTCCTAGATGGGTGCTCGTTTGTACCATTAGTGTTTTTCTGGGTGGTGGTGGTGTTGTAATGATAAGGCACTGTATCAGGGAACGCGGGTTTGGGCACATGGTCTCTTTCGAGTTTATGAATTTTTGTGGTCCTGATGGCTTGGTATTTATTTTGCTCAAATTCTGTTAATCGCGTGATTTCTTCGTTCGATAAAGTGTTGTGGCGGAGAATAATGTTGGTCATAGCGACCAGTTTCTTTACCTGCTTGTCACTATGATTCAAAGCAATTTCTGTTAATTTAAGAGATGCCTCAAGGAGGACGTTTTTCCATGTTATTTGGTCGTGTTTATCTAGATTTGTAGCGGCTGGTGTGAGGGAGAGTGTCATACCCTTGGGGGCTATTCTAGCACGAAGGTACACTTGCAATGTTGATTTATGCATTTCATGTCTAATTCGTTTGTCAGCAAGTTTTCGTACTTTAAGGAAAGTGGCACTGCAACTGGGAAGTGATGAGCTG